GGTGGTGGTGGTGAGGGGATGGAGGGAGGGCTGGGGTTTTTTTTTCTTTTCTTTTTTTTTTTTTCAAACGACATTTCAGGCTCTCACCCAGTCCTTTCCATGGCCCCAAGCCGCAACTTACTCGAGTGGAAGGAAGCAAGGCCTCGCCAAAGATGGTTGAGAAAGACCGTGAGCCTCTCTACCCAGGATCTTGAAGCCAAGGTGGTGGTTTGTTATCCTCGTAATGGTGGCAAATAAGAAGAGAGCACGCTATCTTCGGATAGATTCACTCTGAAATTCTCCCTGGAGGTGCAAGAAGGGGCTCTCTTCGGTTTAGTTAGTGGTTTGGAGCCCTGTTCGCCTTAAACTGAGCCACAAAAGAATGGAAGACACCCCCTGGGGTGGGGAGAAAGCCCTGGTGTAAAAGACACACACACGTTTTGCTTTCAGAGAAAAAGCCACTGGGGCCAGATTGAAACATGGCATGTTCAGTTCATGTAGTTTTTTTTTTTTTTTTTTTTAATGGGGAAATGATATTGAGTAAACAAGATGTAATAGCTGGGTCTTTAAATTCAAGAAGGGAGGTGGTGTACAGATGTAGCAAACACGTAATGTACATACAGCAGGTGGTCGAAGCCTACGGAACACAAAAAGATACATATATAAACCCCGTAAAGACCATAAAGGTGTGTAATCCTTCACACATCGGAGAGGGAAACGATGAATGTATTACCACCAGATCAGGTATGCTGTTTATCCAGTCCTGTGCCCTGATTCCTCCAGGGTTCACAGACCTGCACTCAATTGAGAGGTCTTTTAAATCGAGACAGAAACCCCACGTCAAGCTAGTTGTACGTACCCTGGAAATAAGACAAAATAGAAGGATCTGAAAAAAATGTCACTATGACCTCTTAAAAAGGCTTGCTCCTGTTTGATCGGACTCTGAAGATACTCATATTACTCGAGTAGCAGTGAAAACTCCCCACATGGGAAACGCTTCTTAGAGTTTTGTTTTAAATTGCATTAATTGATTAACATTTGCAAAGTGCTGGGGAGGTTGTTTTTTTTTTTCCCCCTAATCTTTATGCCTCTCCGTTGCGTTAACTTCCATCGAGGAAGCCATTGTTCTCTGTTAAGAGGACACGGTATGATGTAAATTGAAGTAGCATTTTTGCTGTTTAAGCCTTTTCATGTAAATGAACTGAATGATTGTCTCGCAGAAGAGTTGTTGGTCTTTCATTTCAAACAGGAAATTGTTTGGAGTTTCACAAATTGGGACATATTTACACGTGTTTAGAAAGAACTATGTAATCTGCAAATTTTGCCAGCCAGGGCATCACATTTATCAGTGTTACAAGATGATGAAATTGAAACTCTCATCTTCTTTTAGCCTGAATACAGTGCCAGTACGCTGTGGGTTGGGTTTCAGCTTTACCTGGGCTTGATTTCATTTCAAAGGAGGCCTTTTTCCTTCTCTCAAAGGTGGGCCTTTATTAATACGCATATGAAAACATTACGTGCATGGAAAAGTATCCAAAGACCTGCTTAATCTGAAAGCTTGATACGCTGCACATATTACAATATCTGGAATTTCATAATATGCATACCATACTAAGTCCTAGGTTTCCTAGATTTGAATTCTTTGTTTACTTCGAATACGCTCGTGCCCCTCCCCCACTCCCTTCTTTTAGGAGTTGAAAGCACAGCAGTGTTCCAAGAGTTAGAAGAAATGCACTTAAGTCTGTATTGCTTATCATAAAGTGTCTTCAGGGTAGAACTAACTGCCTTGTGGCTTCATAATGCCAAATACTTTCTGAGCAGAGCTTTGTACAAAGACCAGTGTTTTGGTCAAGGCTCGATTGGAGGAAATTAGTTTTAAAGCACAATTCGTCATTTGCAGAAATGGCAACAGATAACATTACATCTGCTTTTAAAAACCATAAACAACCAAAAGTAAAAGTTAATTTCTTGCAAATCATCTCAGCTGTATTTTTACAAAGAAGATTTCGGAGAAAACTCTTTGCCAGGTAGACCAACGGTTAAAAAGCAAAGCACCCATCTTAGTCCATTCAATGAAATCACTGAATTTCACAGCAGAAAAAAAGTTTTTAGTGTAATTTTTTTTAAAAAAAAAATGGCACGATTCCTCTTCCAAAATATCCATACAAAGTTTCATTCTATTCCACATATGTAAGGCTATCTTGGGGACCACTCAGCTTTGGGCAACAATAGAAGTAACTTGCTGTAAGAATGAAATGAACTATTATTTGAGTGCTGGAGATAAGAAAAGACAGAACAAAGAAATCATATTATTCTTATGCCAAATAGAAACTAAAGGAATTCCAAACCCTTTCAGATTCTCTTGTTGCTGTTTTCATTGCTAACTCTCAATGTCTGAGTTTTTCCTCCAATCAGTGTATTGCAAAAATCCCAGCTATTTTTTTTTTTTTTTTTTAATCCTTTTGTGGTTTGAAGCCGGCTTTGCAGGCACATAAAGATATCAGTCTTCACATCATACTTCCCCTCCGAATTCCACTATGAAATTGGGACATTCTTTTGTTAGGCAGCGCACACAAAGGTGTGTTCCTTGAGGGACAGAAAAAAAAAAAAATGAAAGAAAAGGATTTTTTTCTTTATCTCACCATCAATTGGCCTTGCAAACCACTCCTCAACTGTCAGCCCTGTGACTTGAGCTACATAGACATTTTTTCGCTCAAAACTAAGCTAGGCCTAAGCGTTTATAGTGAGTTTAATATAGTCAATTTGTTGGTGTGTTTTTTAAAGGGATTCTTAACACTGTTCGACACGAGCATTACAATATAAAAATCTGTAGCTTGGTGGCCAGCAAAGGAAAAAAAACCATCTTTTATTTTTTTAGTGTTAAAATAGTAATAGAATCAGGATTTTTTTGTTGTTGTTGTATTTTCCATAGACATACCCTTGAAAGAAATGATAAGCAGATTTAAATTAATATTAGCCCGCCAGAAATAAACCGAGAGGAGGTCTGGGAGGGGCTCGCCCTTATCCTTCGTCAGTGATTTGATAGATTTTCTGGAGCAGAGCCACCTCTCCGTTCCTGAAGCCTAGTTTGGAAATGCCTGCAGAGGCCTTTCACTCAGACACCTGAAGGGTTGGAGACTATGTTCTGTTAAAAGAGAAACTGAGGCATATTAAATTTTAAGAGTTTACGTGAGCAAAAAGCTATGCTAATCGGGCAGTGCCAGACCGGAAGGGGTTAGGAATGCTCCGCCTACAGGAGCCAGGACAGACAGGAGGTGCAGGAGCAAAGGGAGGAAGTGACTCGATGGCTACAGCTTAAAGCCCAGTGGGCTGTTTAAAATTGGTTGCTCTAGTGATTCAATTCTGTAACCTTGAGGTATCTGCAGGCTTCGAGTTGGGTTTGCTTACGGAAGTCGCCACGGCATCAGAGCCAACTCAGTGTCATGAACAGTTCAAAGCTGGGCATTATTTAGGAGGCCCCTAGGTGTCTCAGTGACTTCTTCAGTCCTAACT